ATCCGTGGCGAATCGTATGGAAGGGATTCCTGTTGGACTGGCTTAGGGAACAATAGAAGCCATAAGACTATCTGAAAGTTCTGCTAAACGGAACCGTTCAGCGCGTCATACTGTGTTTTAGTGCAGCTGGAGTGGTGTAGTTATGGTATGTATCGTATATCGTGGGAATGGCTGCTTTATCCCCTTGTGCCATTGACCAGGCCCCCAGAACTGTGTCTTGGGACTTTCATTGTCTGGCAGTCGGGTAAGATGCCAAGAACCCTGGCCGAGAGCTAGCAGTGGCTGCAAACGCGGCAAATGCGAAAACTTCAAAGAAGTGATCGGGCGACGTGGAATCGCTGGGCAGAACTCTGTTTCGATCCATCTGCGCAGCTCCGATTCGGCGAATTGCGCAGAAATCTCGTTGGGAAGGAGCTTTGACCTGTCAAGCGGCCGCCGATTCTTTTCCGACTAGCGGCTTCGAGGCCTCTGGGCGTTCTACGCGGCAATGACTGACCAACGTTCTGTCATCTGCCTGTGCCTGGAAAGCCCAGCATTTTTTTCCCCCCGAAATGCATCGCGCAGAGGAGAAAAGGGCCCTTTGCAACTGAAATCCGCATCTGCGGGACTCGAGACGGCGAGAAATCCTCGAGCCCCAGAGTTCAATCGTGTGGATGCTTAAGGGATCCTCGGACTTAGTAACTATAAATATTATTGGCATTGTTGGGGTACCTGTAGAAATACACATAACACCAATTAAGGCACTTATAGCCATATACTTTCGAAGTCCCATGATCTCCAAGTATCTGTGAAGAAGGACATGTGCAACAGCAAGATACTCGCAGTGCTTGCATGTGTTGTGAGATCGTTCAGGCATTGACGTTCTGTGGGTGGTCCAGCTTTCAACCTTCGTGTTACTGTGCTGATGCTGGTCTGTTGCCGAATTTCCTGCGTGTGCACCTCCTAACGTTGCGCTCAAGAGAAGCTCATCCTGTTCCTCAGCTTCGGGCCAGAGCAAGGTATTGTTCCAGACCACATCCTCGACAGCAGGGCTGTGTGTGTTTCAGCGGCATCAAGGCATCGTCTCAAAAGCACATTGAGTATACTCCAAGCAGATGACCATAGCTCAAGCCTCTTGCAGCCGCAGCACCTCGATTGCAATTTTCCCAGCTAGCAGCAGCTGCAGAGGCCACGCAGCAGAAACACGAAAAATAGCAGAACAGATCGCAACCACGACCAGCAGTATCCTCAGAAGACTTAGAAACGATGTGGCATGGGCTGCTGCAAGCTGTGGAGCGCCGATGGCGACGGGACTGGCAGGGTTTTGTTTGCAGAGTAGGTTCAGGATGGAGTCGCCACAAAACCCTAGCGACAATTCTTAACAAAACGACCCAGAGACTCCAAAACCCTTTAGCTACCTTAAATTCGAATAGGAACGATTTGAGGTATGTTCCTTAGTTAAACGGTCTTGGAGTCGCTGGGAATTGAGATGTTTGCACCGCGACTACTGTCTCTGGAGCTTGCTCCTCGAGGACAACCCACGGCTACTTTGGCAGGTGCTACTGCTACTCGGGGCGCTCAGTAGGCTGATTAGCTCGGTGGGAAGCAGTGATAGGAACCAAAACCAGTGTTGACCAATTGTTTTGCAAAGTGATAACAACGACTTTGGCCCTACCCACGGCCATGATAAAAAACAGAGAAAATTAACGGCAGTGGGAGGATAGATAGCGGTGCTCTGATAGTGGTCACAGCACATTACCGAGCAGTTCTTGTATGTATACGCAAGCACATCATACACACAGCTGGCAGTCGAGCACGACATGCGTCATAGTGAATGTGCACCGACTGCCAAGCTTGGGCGGCACCTCCCATATCTACATCCTGCCATATCATCTCGATTGCAACGTCCTTCCGTCGGGCTGCAGGAGATACGGCTTATTGACGCAGAGCTGCTCTTTAGACCTTTCCGGCTTCCACCTAAACCCTAAACCCTAAATCCAGAGCCCCAAATCCCTGAGCCCTGAGCTCTAAACCCAGAGACTTAAACCCTAAACCCAACAGGAGGAAATAGAACTTAGTAGCTTAAAGGGTTCCTTCAAGGGCTCCTTGAAAGGGAACTACAAGGTTATTTTTATAATTGGAGTTTTAGGATTATTTACAGGATCATGGAACTTGGTAACTAGGGTTATCATTCGGTTAACTGTGTTTGTAATCACTTCTGGCCCCAAGTAAGATACTTGTAACTTATAACATCTTATAACCATACTTGCGAACTCCCATGAATCTCCAAGTAGGCACTCTTCTCCCGGGTGACAGAATGATCCAGTCTTGTACCGTACCTGCGTCTGCTTCTTCATCGCTACTAAGCCCTAGCCCTAGCAATCCTGAATCCTTAAGCGTAAACCCTAAGCCCTCAGCCCTGAACCTTAAATATGTCTTCCATGGCTTCTTCATCGCAGGACAGCGATGCTCGGAACTCTCAGCTCAAGGCTGGTGTAAGCCGTAACCCCATCCTTGTGATCTAACACATGATGTCTGATTATGGTATCTGCTCGCCTATGCAACTTTTGGCGACCAGGTTACTTTCGCGACATGCAATACGAAAGACTGCAATGTTTCCCTGCTGCTGGTGCTGGAACACCTGACTCGAAAGAATGTTTTTTCTGCCGTGGCATTGACAGCGGCAGGTGCTAGAGTGTCTGCAGAGCCTATTCGGTCCGGCTTCGTGGGTTGCTGCTGATGTTCGATGGAGCACACTGCACCGTGGTGTCTCCCTGTCATGACTAGCCTCGTTCAGTATTCCTTGTTTAGAGTTGCTGCAGTTATTGGGCGGTGCGGGCGTGGTGCTCGGCGCAGTGCTGCTGGTGGTTGGGGCCTCAGCTCTGGGAGACAGAGCTGCCAAGGACTGGATGGTTCAGAGCTGTGTCATATTGACTGATTGATAGGATTATTCTATATTGGTTATGTTACTTGCGGTTATTAATTATTAGTATTTTCAATACTGTCACTACTATACTAATACTACTACTACTGCTACTGCTACTGCTACTGCTACTGCTACCGCTGTTACTATTACTACTACTACTACTACTACTACTACTCCTACTACCACCACCACCACCACGACTACTACTACTACTACTACTACTACTACTACTACTCCTACTACCACCACTACTACCACCACCACCACCACGACTACTACTACTACTACTGCTACTACTACTACTACTGCTACTACTACTACTACTTCTTACTAGTACTACGATGATGATGATGGTGATGATAAACATTTGATGATGCTAGTGCCGGTGATTAGTGTTATTACTTCTCTTAGTATTATGATCATGATTATTGTTATGTTTGCGACGCAAAGAGTTTTCTGTGAGTTCGTGATTGCAGGATGCAGGTGTGATGCCAAAGCTCCTTGGTTTAGGATTTAGGCTTTAGGGCTTGATGCCATGCTCTTGAGTTTAGGGTTTCGGGGTGGGTGCCATAGCTTCTGAGTTCAGGGTTTAGGGCTTAGGGGTTGATGCCATGGCTCCAGTTTGGGGCTCAGGGTGGTGCTGGATCCTTGTCTGGCCGTGGATGGATGTAAAACGCAAGGCGATTCCCAACTGTTGGTAGCTCGCAATATTGATAACCACTATAAGTATCTCTAAAAATAGTGATAGTAATGATCACCATCACCATCACCGTCGTCGTCGTAGTAGTAGTAGTAGTAGTAGCAGCAGCAGCGCAACACCGAGCCCCACCCCAAGCAAGCAAACCAAAAGCTGGAAGCCTGAAATCCCTGCTGAACCCAATGCCCTGAAATCCACCATAACACAACCTGGACCTCCCTAAACCCTAAAGCCTTGAATCTCGCGAATTTCGTGTCGAAGGCACGGCGCCTTGCAGCGAAGTCCCAGCCTGCACCAGCCCGGAACCCTGAAGATTCCAGCAGCTCACAGCTAGGATTGTTGGTGTCTTTAAGAGTTTAGGGCTAGCATAAGGATTCTAGAGCGGTTATTCTATGGTTTCGAAAAAGACTCAGGGATTTTTGGCTTTAGGGCCCGCGGGCTTACGATGCAGGCTGCGAGTTCCGTCTTTTTGTTCAATGCTTCGGTCTTGCAGGTTCAGAGTTCAGGTGTTGGGGTTCAGTTTAGGTTTAGGGTTGGGGGTGCAGGCTGCGGGGGTTTGTTCAGGCTTGCTGGTCCATGGTTCAGGACTTGGGGTTTCGATCTTCGGGTTCGGGTTCAGGGTTTTAGGAGTCGGGTTGCTAGTAGTAGTAGTAGTAGTAGTAGTAGTAGTTGCAGTCGCAGTTGCAGTGGCAGTCGCAGTCGTAGTCGTGGTAGTAGTGGTAGTAGTGTTGGTAGCAGCAGCAGCAGCAGCAACAGCAGCAGAGTAGTAGCAGCTGCCAGTCCGTTTTGCAGAAGCTTATGTGTGGCTTCAGTCTTTCTTGCCGGGGCTGGGAGGTAGAGGTTCCCCAGACATTTTATGTGTATATTTACATATGTATATATATATATACATACACATATATATATATATGTGTATGTATATATGTATGTATGTATGTATGTATGTATGTATGTATATATACATCTATAAGTACATAAATAAATAAGTAAACAAATACATAAATATATATATATATATATATACATGATATGATATATACAAATGCTTTAGTATAGCCTACAATAAGGAACCCAAGGAATGATGTCACTAATTATTCCGACCACTGTTTTTGTTGAGCAGCAACAGCAGCAGTTGTTACAACAGTTGTGGTCGTGCATTGGTTTCGGTGGTAGTAGCAGCATGAGTACAAGCAGCGTAAAGCCTAAGGCTTTCCGAGGCTACTTCACTCGGTATGTGTACCGCAAGTACTGCTCTGGCATTGCGATGATTGCTCCAATGCTAGTTCCATGCCGTAACCATGTCTAGGACTGCTTCCAGTCGGCTATACCTACTGCAGTTTTTGAGCAACCCTGCGACCACCGGCTCAAAGAGGTCCTGAAACTTGTGCTGTGACCAACATGGCGGCTGGAATCTCACGGCCGCTTCTTTTACTTTTTGTAATCGCAGGTTCTGTGGTATCGAGCGGAGAGCTCGCCTGCCTGGAGGACGACTCCTTGGGCTTTACGGCCCTTGTTCAGACGGATCAACATCGAAGGCATCGTGCGCTGCAAGCTGTCGGCACCAAGCGAAGCCGAGCGCTGCCGACTTCCGGGAACCCCACAGTTCCCGATGTCAGGGCCTCCTTCGCGGCCATGGGGCAAAATGGTCAGGTGATCCAGGTCAACAAGGGGAGGCAGGTTTTTTTTCTTTTCTCTCTGACTTGCTCTAGGCCCTAAATCCTAAACCCATCCCTCGAATGCGACGACCCTGCAGTGTCTGGCCTTTGGACCACTACAAGAACTACATGCCTCCCTATGCTGAGCACATCGAATCGATCCAGCGCTTCAAGGGCAACTACCTTGTCTTCTCAGGACCTTAGAGGTCTCCAGATCTATCACCAAATATCACCTAGAGCCTTCCCGAAGCTTAACAAGCATGTGCAGTTGTGATGATCAGTCGCATTACGCAAGTAGCCATTAGTATCTTGCCATTAGTGTTTTCTTCGTCATGTGTAATGAACGACCGAGAGAGCCCAATACCCCTTCATCCTGGCTATCGGTGCACCGAGAGCCGGGTTCTTCGGGCTTCTGAGTAGCCGCTGTACAGAGAGGGCAGAAAGCTTTGAACTACGTAGGGCGCCTTGTGATGTTACCAAGTCTAAGTGGAATTGTGGGCTCTCTGGGGAGCTCCTAAACCCAAACCCTCTTTGATGGGGAGGAGCGGAAAGCGACGCGGGCGACCTCTTCATTGCTGTCTTGCAGGGCACTGGCTCGGGCTCTCTTGCCCAGCTGAGCGGGCAGGCGAGGGCCTTAAGCAGTCGCTGGGGCTCAGGTTCTTTTGGTTTAGGGTTTTGGAGAATTAGGGCTTTAGGTCTTCGGGGTTTCGGGTTAAGGGTTTAGGAGCTACATGTAAGACGGTACTCACAAACCGTGTTTCGAAGCCGACAACTACCCCAGTAGGCAGAGTCTGAGAGGAGCGTATGCCTTTTGAGCCGACGCCGAGGTTGTGAAACGGGTGATCGTGGACTCGACCCTGACCCATGCTGGCGGCCTTCAGATCAGCGGGGATTTGCTGGCAATTGGGGCCGAAGCGCAGTGCTCACCCATGCAGAGAGTGTTTGGAGGCTGCAGCAAAAGATCGCAGGTGTTCTTCTTCGACGTGTCTGATCCAATGAACCCAGTCAAGCTACCTACTGTAATTGACAGGCCGGGGAAGACTGCTGGGGCTGTCGGAATTGGACGTCAGGACAACGGTAAGTGGCTAGTGATGGTGGGTGATGGTGACAACAACAATATCGATATCTACGTGGAGGGGGATGATGGATCCTTCAACCTTATAGCGTCTTGGAGCAAGTACGAGCTTCTGAAGGATGCTGGGGTGTCTGGCGGCTACAAGTCCTACCAAAACATGAACATTCTCCTCCAAAGTGATGGGCAGATTTTCATCGTTTGCACTGCTCTCTCTTCCATGATCATGGGCTCTGACTACTTCGACCTCTTTACTGTGCAGCCTTCTGAGGGCAGGGCTACGATCACCATGGTATCCTCCAAGAAGGCTGGGTCACCGAAATGATAAGGCCTTACAATAAAGCCCTCAACACGATGCTACCGCCCCACTGAGGCGATTTAGGGGTTTCAGAATCTAAAACAGGATTAGCCATATATAAGGGATTAGCTGATTAGCCATAATGGAAGAAGCAACGTGATAAGGCCACGTGCCACGGCTGCACGTTCGCCGCTGGTGCGGGGATCTATGTGAATCCAGAGAATCCTTCGCAGATGCTCGGCTACGCGTCGGGCTGGCTGCCCTCTTCGAACTCGCTTTCAAGCTTTCCTGCAAAAGGCGATACCATCTTCGTCAATGAGTTCTGAGCAATTTTATGTAGGCTGCAGTCGGCTACATTAACTTTCGCACGGGAACAGGCTGCATGCCTTGCCCCTCTGTGCCCGAAGCGCATGAGCCACTGCAGAACGTTTTGAAACCTTCAGAGATCCCCTCAGCACGTGTGGCCTCGTGGCCTTGTGGCCTCCATCTCTACGAGAGGCATGCAGGCAAGCCTTCAAAAAAGAGCTCAGAGGAGCCGGCAGGGACAGGTTGGAACGAAGCATGGTTCAGGGTTTTGGACTTTTGCCATTGTTTTGGATTTGTTGTTAAGATCCTTGAATGTGCAGTGTTAACATGCCGATGACCATCGTTGTGCCGAGGTGTACATTGCGCTGTCTGCTGCGCTTCAGCTCTTGAGACAGAGGAAAGTCCAGGCCCGGTACAAGGTATAACAGCAGTAGGACATATACTCACGGTAAAATCCTGAACACTCGAAGTTCGGGACTGATGCGAGGTAGGGAAAGGAGTGCGAACATCGGCTTCAGTCTTTGAAGGTTGAGCCCTGTTCTGGGCCTTCTGCGACTCTCCCCAAGCTATCCAAACTATCTAAAACCCTCCCGGTTTAGATAGTTTGGATGGTTTGGGCCCTCCGCCCGGCCATCTAAGCAAACTAAACCAAGCCCCAAAACTATCGAACCGATCTAAACCTTTCCCCCAGCAAACCCAGCGCAACACATTATACATTACACAGAAAGGTTTCTCTTTACATGAATAACTAAATACATAAATGTTTACAAATAAATAATTAGATAACATACATACATACATACATA